TGGTGAGGTAACCGGTTACCTCAAGCTGAACATGACTTCTTTGGCTGAGAAAAGGTGATGTAACCGGTTACTTCATGAGGTAACCGGTTACCTCAGGCAAAACTTTGTTTTCTTGCATAAAGTGGAATGTTATAGTCATGGTTTTGCATTTTAACCTTGTGCTTTGATATATAGGAATTGAAACCCTTGTATTTTGCTTGTAGTGATGATGTGATGAATCTGTGGGAATATGATTAATTGTGGCTTTGAAACTTTCTGAAATTCTGGAGGTGCCTACAACAAAACTGTAGAAAAAAATGCTAATGCGTATGCTGGAAATGCGAGTGCACATGCTTATGCGAAAAGGCAAAATTGGCGGTCAAATTTCAAGTTACGACACCAACCAAGAATGCTTGGTAGAGGATATTGATGCTCATATGTCTTATGTGAATCATTTATGTTTGACTTGTTTGTGCTATTATGTGTGTTTTGTGTATGATAGATATGCTAATGTGTGATATATATATATATATATATATATATATATATATATATATATATATATATATATATATATATATATATATATATATATATATATATATATATATATATATATATATATATATATATATATATATATATATATATATATATATATATATATATATATATATATATATATATATATATATATATATATATATATATATATATATATATATATATATATATATATATATATATATATATATATATATATATATATATATATATATATATATATATATATATATATATATATATATATATATATATATATTGAATGGATGTTGTGATTGTGAAATAACATGCTTAAAATCCTATGAAAATGAGTTAGGAAACCTAGGAGATAACTAGGTAAATGACTTAATAAGATAACTTAGGATATAAAATAGTTTAGATAGTGATGCTTGGACGTGATTGTATTGCGGTGTGTATAATGGACAAGTAGTCACGTGATTGATGAATAATATGCTTTGTATGGAACATGTTGTGTTGTTATGTGATTAAGGTGAATGTGATCACCTTGTGATTGTTGAATACAATTACCTTGTGTTTCTATCTTATCACGTAGTTAGAAACAACCCCTTGATTATGTCATCCCAAACTGTGATGCTTATATAGAGTAAGAATTGGGATGGACACGACCATACTTGTTGACGTGGGTTGAATCCCATAGGCGATGGATTCCTAAATGGGGTGAGTCCCATACGGGTAGAGACTTGAAATGGGTTTGGAGTTCCATAGGAAGTGACGATTCTTAAGGTTGATGTTATCCCTTAGAATCTGAAGTTAATATATATTAAAGTATAAGATAGGTATCCGTGACCCGAGATGATAACCGAGACAGAGGGCTACCGGGTAAAGATACCTATTATACAAGGATTCATGATTCGTGTCGAGAATCATAAATGTAGGACTGGTCGGAGAAAGATGCCTTGGTACGATTTCCGAACTAGTGATTGTTTGAGTTGATGAACTCAAGAGCCATATTTTCATACATTGCAAGTTTTGTGAACTAAATTCCTTTTTCCCCTTTGACTTGAGTTAGGATTTGATTAGAACACTGTAGAGCCAAGTGAGCCCATAGGATAGGGGAACTCACTGAGATTATTGTCTCACCCCAATATTGTTGTGGTTTTTCATGTATTGTTTGCAGGTTTAACTTACAAGAGGAGTTGTGCATTGATGTTTCAAAGAATGTTGATTATTGTAATCTCCCATTGTGGAATTATGTACAATGAAGATATTGTACATAGTTCTTAGATTTTATTCTTAGGCTTTATTGTATAGCATTCTCTTTCATGTTGTATTTTGGACATACGTATGTAATAATACCGTTAGACACTTATGTTGTGTCAGTACCAGTAATTAACACTCATAAAATATTATTTTGGATATATATTTTACGGGTTGTTACAGTATTTATCATTTAATTTTGGTGATTTTGTTCAAGGTTTTATAATTTATAATTTTGTTTTTGTTTGATGTCAATATTTCTACTTAAAATAATTTTGAATATGAAATGATAACTATAAATTAATTATTTTGTGTTACTGACTATTGAAAAAAGACTTTAACTTTACATTATATGAATTTACTATTGAATTTTTTGAATTCTTGAGTTTGATTCTGCCATATGTATTAAAAATTTGTTTGGCTTTTATAGAAGGTTTTTTTAAAATACTCACAATTTTATGTAAATTAACTTTTTATATATATTAGATCAATAACCATGTGGTTCTATCAATGATTTATCGGTCTGACCTATAACTTAATAATCACGTCCTTTGACCGGACATAACATCCGTCTACATTTTAAAACATTGAGTGTGATAGATAATTGACTCCCTTAACCATTTGATCCAATTTTAATTCATTGCTTATGCATATAAGAAACTATAGATTGAAAAAACTCAATCGATTGGAAGGATATCAATTATCTCGACTAATTAAAGAATATTTTGATTTATCAATTTTATAAAAAAATTGAAAATTACACAGAATAATACACGCATTTTTTATTTTATTTTATATAAGTTAAATTTTATAATTTATCAAAATCACGATAAATTTGAACCATAGATCTTAAGATTCAAAGAACACATAAATATTTGTAAATTATTTATTAATTAGATTTTTCACATTCACAGCAGAAACTTCTTATCAATTTAGCCAACTTTTCTTGACATACACATGTGTCTATTATTTAATAAAAAAAAAGTAAATTAATTAATTTAGAGTAAGAAAATGACAACCTCTAATAGTATAAGGAGCAAGTTTTGGATGCGCATAAACACAGTGAATTGGTGATGTGGAGTAAGTGATATGGATTCCATAGAATCTTAATAATACCACTATAAAACATTAAAGTAATAAAAAATTCAGGGTGCACATCGCATTATTTAACTAACTATAAAATATCAAGATCAAATGAATATTCATATTACTGTGTTTTCCATAAAAGAAACATTATTGAGCAGACCAATCATGTGTATCTTTTATATGAAAATGAATGATTTGGTTGGTTGTCGATTTTGTTTGACCGGAAGAAAGAATAAGATGTTTCTGTCTACTCTTAATTATTTTATTATCTTTTTAATGAAGAGAGATGTAGAATATATGGAGGAGAAGTGGATGAGAGTATACATGGAGTAGATCATGTGGATAAGGAACACTCGTGATTGTAAGTACTTGTGAACAAACTAGAAACACATGGAGCAATAAGATATGAACCAGAAATCTAGTGATTTGTTCAAACACCATTGAGTCATGTAGTCAACTAACTAATATTTTATTATTAATGTGCACAATTATATGTAAGTATACCGATTTTGGAAAATAATTGAAAATGACATTTATTTAAGTGAGAGTGTTGGAAACTCAATGTAAGTGGTTAAGGGTCCCTCAAATACATGAATGACTTGTGGCTAGGGGTGAAAAACCAAGATCGTATATAGTTTTATTTACCGTAAAATTTATTTCAGTAGAGTCTCGCCTTACCAACCCCAGGGAAACTCCGAATATAGGTTTAAATCATTTGTACAGACTTTTAAGGTGCTAAGATTCAAAATAGAGGTCGTACAATATGATCCTTAACCAACCAGGAGGTGGGCTTGGAAGCGATCAACCTTTCAAGATAGCGTAATAGTTCACTGATCTAGCTCTCCATGGCACCGGAAATGTATTAAGGCTCAAGTGATTCACTGAAGCGATGAGATCTTGAAAGTTGTTCAAGTGTCAGTAGTGAAATGTTATGTCAATTGAAGAAGGTTTTTGGTGACAACACCTGAAAATATCAGAAGAATGTTGACATGAATAACAAGAAATTCTATGAAAAACACAATTGTCTGCCAATGGAAGGTTTTTGCATTCAGTAATTAATTAACGTTGTTTTTAATTGATTTTTAGTGTTACATATCTTTTAAAATAAATCGATTTAAGTAATTTTTTATAAAATATTATTTTAAAATATTGCTTTTAGTCTATTCTCCCATTTATGCCAAAGAACCTCAGCATGAAACTCTTACATTTGAACAACTCTAAGTAACTAACTTTGGCTCAGCATGCTCTTCTTTTATCACATCTGACCATCATTTTGCAGTGAAACGCTACTGCAAAACAGCCATCAACAGAAAAAAGATCACATGCTGTTTGCTCACAACTTCCGCACTTTTTTTAATGCACTACCCCAAAGCAATAAAGGGGATTCATGCACCATTGAAATATTGCAAAATCAAAGCCTTTTACTTTCAAGTTTCAACCATTTCCATGCCAAACTTTTTGCATCCTCAATCAACAATTCAATCTCAATCTTTTTTGCTGGAAAACTTTTTATTCCTCGATTCCAAATCACTCTAACACATACAAATTAAATTGTAATGAACCTCTATTCTAAATTCTTCCCTCTGTTCACCAAACTTGTAAAGTGACCAAAGTGTGTTCTTTAGCTTTGCCGAGTGCATACAACAATCTGTTTAAGCACCTTATTCCACTCTATAGAGTAAAACAGACTCAAGAAATAAGTGATCATTGACTAGTTAAATACCAACGAGTTTCTTTCTGTACAATAAGAAGAAAAACAACAATGCTCTTGAGCTGTTCACACAAATTTCCTTACAAAATTCACAAGGATCATCCCTGTTTTGGATGACCGTGAATATCAAGGATCATCCCTGTTTTGGATGACCGTGAATATCAAGGCTCAATGTTATAGGTTTTACATGCAAAATTGAGGGCAAAATATTATAATTGACTTTATATCAACAAGTTATCTTACAAAATAGGAAGAAAAATAATAATGACTATCATCTTACACCAAGCTACCAACTTGTATCATAAACGATCTCAAGTAATATCAATATGATGATGAGGATGGCAACAACAATAATTATAAAATAAGATACAGATATGAACCATTAGAAGCGATCTTTTTTTTTCCTTTCTATCAAACCTTGTTGTAGAGGAGCTACCCAAAATTAATCCTGTTTGACATTTACACTTTCAGGTTTAGCGGGTCCTGTCGGGGATGGTCCAGTATCTGCCTTGTCCTGATTTAACATTTAGATTTGTAATTCAATTTATATTTATGTTCATGGAAGCTTCACAGATGAAATCATCAACACAATTGTTTACAAGCACACACATTCACCAACACAAATATCATTCCCCGCATGCATGATGCAAATGACCAAAACATAATCGATGCACGGATGAAGCCGCAAAAATCAACAAGGACAACCACATAATCTATGCACTGATGAAGCCGCAAAACTCAACAAAAGACAACCAAAGGATCACTCTTTTTTACGCAATACATCTTTAAGATGATATAAAAAACAACAAAAAGATTTTTTCTCAATAAGGAATGTCTGTGACTACCGTTAACACAAACCCTTGACAGTCAAACAAAATATCATAATGGACCACAGACATTTGAATAATGTTAGAATTATTCCTGAGAAGACCAACCCCCTAAAAATCATGTATGAGGTTACAAACTAACAAGATAAGAAAAACAGGGGAATAGTACTCGCTTCTAATACAAATTTTCCCTTATGCATTTAACTAATTATACTTCATTACCCAACAAACCTTATGGAGGATTACCAGTCATAGTACAACAAGAGCCACAATGTTTTAACTTCTAACTCAAATCATATCTATAGCCAACAACCATTGGCCTTTAAATCTTCTGAATAGTTTCCAATAGTACCGTAGGTCTTCCTCAGCCTCTAGCAATTGGATAACACTTCATTAGATCTACTCTCTTTACTATGAAACCTACAGGTCTCCTCCACACATATCCTACCCACCTTAGTCAAAATTCAACCACCATTTCTACAATAGCTATCTCTAATACTATCAGTTATAATACTGTACAAATTGAAAAATAAAATAATAAAACAATTTTTTATACAATTCATCGTACTTTTTCCTTTCAAACTCAAATAAAAGTATCCTCACCACAAGGGGTCAGTCCATGGAATCCTACAGACTACAGAGTACAAACAATTTTGGAATTTGAAATGAATTACTATTCGTTAGTTAGGCTTGAGCTTTCCTCTTTTCCTAATTTTTAGTCAAAATGTTGAAGTTCTTTGAATCTGGGCCATTATTTACATTTGGGGCTAGTACAGAAAGGCAAAGGCGTCAATATTTAAAGCTTACAAAATCACACTGTTGTTGATAACTTTATTGGGCCAGGAAAGAAGCAGCCAGGGGTCTAGAAAGAAGCAACCCAAAAGCACGGAAAGAACCGGGCGGGTGCTATCTTGGGTCGCCCGGCTATGACCTGGGTCGCTCGACCCAGACCTATAATTACCACCCAATCCATCTCATCACACGTGGCAGATGAGGTGCTCAGGAGAAGGTCAGCTTGGCCATACCGGAAAGGAAGGAAACCCTCCCTCCAATTTAGGAGGAAGAACCGGTCCTCTCCCTACTCCCACGTACTTGTTGGGAAAGTAGGAGAAAACCGTTTCCTCCTTATTACCCGGCCCAAGAAGCCATCAATTTATATTCCAACCCCAAATGTTGGGGATTAATTCACTAATCTCATGTAATCAGAGCATAAGCCCCCTCTTGCGAACACACAAGTAAGTAGGGTCATCATCCTCATTGTACTTCACAAGTACAGATACCCTTCAAGACAAGACACTCAAAAGAATAGTTCTATTACTTATAATTTTTTTGAAGGATATAAATTGGAATTAGATCTCGGCATCACCTACAGTGCAATGACAAGTAACATTAACTCTGTGTTAACTAGTTCAAAAATATCATATGCACAACTTAAAAAGCAAAGGTATTTGCACTTGGTAGCAGAACCCAAAACATTATTTTGCTAAACTGAAAAACTATGATACAAGATTATATTTCCAGTAAATATTTCTAGAGAGATACTAAAAGGATCACCATTTACTATGATCGTTACAGCTCGACACTCATCAAAACCGTTCAATATTTCTAGCACAGATGATCTCATATCTTTCAATAATTAACTAATGCTATTGACATAAAATCTCAACAAACTAAAACAACCTTGAAATACAACGAAACGGTTATTCACTCATAAGCACTTCAGTCTTCAGTTCACGAAGCGCTGGCATTAGTTCATCTAATGAATTTCAACATTCTTTAACTTAAACCAAAGAAAGCCTCAAATCAAATCTATTTAGTTTCCCCTCCATGCTCACATAATTTTAAGCCATGTCTTAACATCATTATTCCCTCTATGTAAGCATCAACACCTCTGGAAAAAGGTGTGTTTGTGTCATTATCCGAAACTGAGACTGACACTTATGATTGATTTAATTTATGCATTTTTATAAATTATTACCGGTGTCAGAGTCGTGTTTTAGGTGTACGTGCTTCATAGAATTTATTCACCCAAAATGTTCAAATAGATCCACAAAAGCCACATATTGTCAAACATTTCACAAAGAACTCTAAAGTTTTTTGGAGGAAAAAAAATTGACTCACTTTACTAATAGTTTTGTTTGAAGGCTTGATTGGACATGCTGGAGGAGCTCTCTCTGGTTTCCTATACTCCCAACCAAAAACAGCATAGATTTTCCCCTGAAAACAGAAAAATAGATCATAATTCATAATTCACAAATGCATGCTCAAAAACAAAGTAAATTTTTATAGGTGAGAAACAAAAAAAATTAATTAAAAAATAATCAATGGTGTTGAGTAAGATCGATACCATGAGAAAATCGAAGACTAGAGGAAGAAAGTTGACGATTGGGACGAGAAAGAGGGGAACCAAACAAACTAAGCAAACCTATAACAAATTCAATTTCATTTTTGAACAAAATTGTTCGCGTTAATAGAATGAACAAGAACAAATCGAAGATTAAAAGAATTGTTATTGCTATGACATTACCATTTTGGGATGAGTAGTTGACGGAAAAATCGATGACGACGGTGGTTGTTTCTAGCGTCGATTGACGGAACCAGGTTGAGGTAGGAGAAAGAAAGCGAATCCGAGAGAATATGGTAATTTCAGATCGAAACTGAGGGTGATTTAGTAAATTTAAATGATGGAAAAAAATATAAGAAGAAAAAAAATCCGACCTACCGGATTCGAACCAGTGACCTAAGGATTATCTGTGATGCACACTACAGTCCTCCGCTCTACCAACTGAGCTAAGGTCGGTTGTTGATTACTTTTTCGTCAAAAGGTATAAAATTTATACTATGATTTGAATTTTAATATGTTAAGTTCTATTTTGCATGGATTAGATGGTTGCTTTTAGTTTTTAGAGTATTCTCTATATTGTAACTTATTAATTTTATTTTAAAGAAAATGAGATTCATTGTATTTTATTTTATTATTAATAAAAAAATTCAATAACACAAGTATTTTTATCATCCAAAATATCAAACAACAGAGAAAATAATAAAAATAATAACACAAGTATTTTTATCCTAGTTCATTATTAACGAAGCTACATTCAATTCACCCTCTTAAGTGATTTTGCCTTTAAAAAGGACTTGATCCAATAATCAAACTGATTATACAACTCAAAGACCAACTGCCTAAGATTTCTTGAAATTTTTTTACTATACCCTAGTCTTTTAAGGAAAGCAATCTCAAAGACTAATTGTCAATGACTTTTTGAGAATTTTTGCTATACTTACTCTCTAAAGAAAATTAACCAAAGTTAATATAACATGTTTTGTGTTTACAATATGCTTTAACAAGCCGATACACAAGTTTAAACCAAATATTACACTTAACAAAAATATTCAATGAGTTTATGTTCTCAGTGTATAAGTGTGAGAAACACTTCTCTTATTTACGTGATTTATGTGGGAATAAGCTTTGATATATGTTCAGTGCTTCTTTTCTATATTTATGTTTACACTTGTTCAATCTTCAAAGACCTCTTTATATAGATGAACAATAGATTCGTTGAAGGGTGAAGTTGGAGCTATCCTCAAATTATAAGGTCGCTTCATATGCAACATTAGAGTGGCGCTAGCAGCAGAGAGTTGGTGAAGATGATGGAACGTAAGAAGCTTCTTTGGTACAAGGTACAATACTTTACATAGAATGTAGATTTACTTTTGTACTTCTGTCACATTAAACAGCATTGACCTTTTGATGCAACTCTTTTAGATCAGAGGTTTCTTATGCAAGTGGATTGAAGCTTGAGTAGATATCAGAGTCAACCTTCAGAACTTGATGAGATTTTAGAGTCTATAGAGAATTGGATTCTGAAACTTTTAGAAGCTGATAGTCATAAACTGCATCAGAGTCAGTCTGGATGATTTCTGCTCAGAAATATTGACTTGATACTTCATAGTTGACTTGTTTGTAGACACGATTTTTATCCTTTGGTTCAGAGTCTTGATATCTTTATAGTTAGATTTTGTTTCCAATTTTTTGCACACTTAAAAAAATAGTTAGAGCAAAATTGTTCTCTACACTTTGTTATCATAAAAACTCAAGGATAGTTGTAGAACCAAAATTGTTCCAACAATCTCCCCTCTTTTTAATGATGACAAGTCCATGTATTTTGGCGAATAATTTTTACTTGGATAATCATATTTATAAAATGTCAGAGATAGGTTTGTAAGCTCCCCATGAGTTTTATACTTAACAAAATTTGATAGTTTCTTCAGAATGAGGTTTGTAAGCTCTCCCTAAGTACTTTATCACATTTTTCTTAGTTTTTTTAGAGTGAAGTTTGTAAGCTCTCCTTGAGTTGAGACTTAAAAAAAATATTTGTTGATCAGTTTGATTTTAGCTATGTTTGGGTTTCATTAGGTTTACAAGATATATCAAAATCATATTCATTTTCTCCCTCTTTGTCATGAATCAAAAAGATAAAAACAAAATAGCATACTAAAAAAATGCATAACAAAGAGTAAAAAAACGAGAGAAAAGAAAACAAAAATTTCATTGATGAATAGAATAATACAAAAGAAGATATAAAATATGAAGAAAACAACAAGAAAAAATCAGGGAAAGGAGAAACTATAGTGGAAAGAACCTAACACTAGAGGGTCCTAAACTGCTTCGAGCTTCTGGCTCCAGCTGGTCTCTAGAGCCTCCATTAACCCATCCTCCTACACATTCTCAATAATACCTTGTTAAAGGAAAATTTTATAAAGAACTCTTCTAAAAGGAATGAGAGAAAATACTCCCTCGTGAGAACCAATAATCTTCTTCCTCAAGAAGTTGAAGATTGTGAAGGGAAGGTTAACCCTAGTCCTTGACAAGATGAAGAAGATAAGATGCTTGTCAATATAGGTGAGTGTTTCCAACGCATCTTCCTGTGGCTGAAACTTTGACACCAGCAGTTGATGTCAGATATTTACCTAGGGAAGAAGAGAGGATACACTTGCCAGGTTGCCCTTTGTGGCAATGATCTTAGATGAAATTATATGAAGGAATGGATTTGTTCTTGGGTACATGCTTATATGAACCCTAACCTCCTCGCATATGATTGCCTTAGAAATCAGAGCATGAGTTAGAGTGATGGGAATTCCAAAAACATTAGACTTAATGCACGAAGAATCTCATCTAATCTGCAAGAGGGTCACATTTGTTCAAAATTCTCTAATGAGAACTTGATAGACGGATCCTTTAAGCATGTCAAAGTAATTCTCCCACTTCTGAGAACGAACATGACTCAGAAAATCAAGACCATGATTTTTAAATTCTTTGAAGTCAACAAATTTTTCAGAAGAAATGGTGATTGAGCAGGCTACTCCACAAACAAAAGACATGTTTGAGATTTCAAAAAGATGATGGAAGATGGATCTATTTAGAAAGTGATTTTAGAAAGTTTTGGATGAGATAAAAAAGAAAAGAGTTAAGGTAGATTTTAAATAGAGAGGGAAAAAAGGAGTTGAAAAGATATAGGAAGGAGTATGTAGAACCTTAAACGAAGTAGACTCAACAGGTATCAGTGCATGCAATAATAATAGCATTTAAACCAAAACACGCATCAGGGCATGCTTGTCATAAGCTTTTATTACTAAATATACATTTGAATATACATAATAGAGAGCAGTTTTGAAAAAGTAATTTTAAAACCACACGGAATTTGACAAAGGGAGGTAAGTGAATAGACTTTCGCTTGAACTTAGAAATTTATCTCAATGGGTAACATCAATCGCTCAGATGAATTTAATGTAGGACAATTGTATTACTTTAGGTATATGCAAAAGTTCTTGATTACACCATTAATATTTTAAAACTCAGAGTCCAAAAGAAAGAAAATACCAAAAGGGTTCTAACTTTGGACCTTCTGACCTAGATGTTGCACCCCAAAATTTGCCCAACATTTCTTTACCTAGCTTATGTTTCATTTCATTCACATTAGCATTATCATTTGCATTTCATTGACATGTATGCAGGAGATCAAGAGGTATGATTACCAATCAAGAGCTACACAAGACTTTGAAGCTATCAAAGGAGGCTTATTCAAGTGTTCAAGGGTGGATATCCTTGTCAGAGAAGTTAAAAGATCCTCAGAGAGAGTGATTGAAGCCAAGAGGGTGTGTCTTCTAACTTGAGAGTTGTGGGAAGCCATCAGATGATTCTGAGGTCATGGAAAAGGACTTAAGGTCTTTAGAGAGCTCATGAGAAGTGTTGAAGATCACTTTGAGGCCTAGACAGGTCATTGTGCAAGATTAAGAAGGCTCAGCCATGATTGGTGCAGCTAGGGTTTGACTGGGTCAACCCTAAGTCAACTGAGGATTTGAAGAAGGTTGAGACCTAATTCAAGGTCTATGTGATCATGGATTGATACATTGATATGTTCTAAGGATGATTCCAAGGCTAACTCATCATGATTGAAGAGTTTGAGAAGTTTCAAGCTAGGGTTTCCAAGGCTTGATAGTGTAAAATCCCCTAGTTTGACCCCAATCTTCAAGGCAATTTAGCTCAAGATATGATTGTCATCACATCTTGCCCCCAACATGATTGTTTTAGATCATGGTCTTAGCTTTAATTTTAGTGCTAGAAGTCCTTGATAGGATTTGTATAACTCAAGTTATGGCTTTGACAAGTTACAAGTCATCTGAGGTATGTGAATTTGGGGCTTGAAAGTTACCCCAACTTGCATGAAACTTTTTCCAAAGAAGGAGGATTCCTATGAACTTTTGGTCAACATGAATGTTGTTCCTTATCCTCTTAGCGTTCCATAGAGTACTATAAGTCCTTGATAGGATTTGTAAAACTCAAGTTATGGCTTTGACAAATCAAGGGTATTTTGGGAAGTTGTGATTATGGGTCATTTATGATTATAGGTCATTTTCACCAACTTAGAGGCCTCAAATGAAATTTTGTTCAACTAGAAAGTTGTTCAAAATAGGGTTTTAACCTTGACCATGCATCAAGGAGGCATTGAAATGGCTCAAGGAAGGATGTGGTTTGAGGAATTTTGAAAAAAGAAGAATTAAAGGCCTTTAATAACCAAAAAATTGAAATAATTCATTTTGTGTCCAAACAAGGCAAAATAATCGGTCATTTTGAATGGAAAAGTCATTTTGAGAACTTTAGCAATATTGGAATTTTGGTTTGAGGCCATTTTCATACCATTTCATGTTGTTTCTTCATGATGAAGCAACATATAAAACTCACACCATTGGCTTGTAAACAAGGAAATTAACATAACCAACTAATCCAATATCTCATGAGATGATGATTGCAAGCATTTTCATTCCCAAAGGGAGCAAATACACGATTTTGGCACATGGTATTTTGAAGGAGAAAGTGAAATTGCAAAATCTCCTATGGAAGGTTACAGAACTTTCTAGACATTTCCAATGAGTTCTATATAAGCATTAGAGTGTGTTCAGCCATTTTTTTGGTGAAGATTGATCCCTGAAGCAGAGAGAGCCATTGAAAATTCAGAGGTGCAAGTTTAA